TTGCAAACTTTTGCAAAAGAGTGATAAATGTTAATTTCAGTTCTTCTGCACTGTCCTGCTTCAGGCAGTACCACAATGATAGCGGGGGGAGGAAGCAGTCGTTAAAACAGTTAAGCCAGAGTTTCCGTCTTAGAGGGCTGATCCTGCCCAGTGCTGAGCACCTCCTGAATTAATTTCTCCCCTTACTGATACTCAGCTGGTTTCAGTAAACAGGTTACAGTTCTAGGAACCCCAACTGCTCTTGGGTCTTTGAATTAGCTTGAATACTAATATAAAAACTAAACTCTGATGTCACATGCCACCTGTCCTGATGCTGAGAGATGTTTTGCATGTTGTTGGTATGAAATAGCACAAATGCTAGCTAAGTGAAAATGAGATATGAATGGGCAATCTTATGTTAGCAAGATAGATCAATGTTAGGCTGCATAGAATTATTTAGAAGAAAAAGAAAAGGGAGAAAAAGGGTAAATTGAATGGCCTGCCTCACGGTCTAGTTTGTACCATTATTTGAACCTGCAATATTGCATTGGCATCAGTACATTATTACACTGTTAACACACACACTGGAGGGTGCTCCAAGCCAAATAAATGGAGATCTCCGAGACAAAAGGACTTCAAAAGCCTTGGATAGCTGGGGTAAGCAAAATACAACATTCAATCAGTCAGTGAGAAGCAGGGTAGGACACAGTAGCAATGCTGCAGTCAGAGAGAACAGTCGTGATAAAAGTAAGTGTGGGATGACGGTCTGGAATATAGACGAGGACTGTTTGAGTCTGAATTCTACTGAAGTGCAGATCCAGAAGTCTCTTCAGTCAAAGCAGAAGGACACATGTTGCTTGTGACACGTGCGCCAAGATGAAGCAGAACTCCTAACGAATGCCACTGGAGGGACAGTCGGACAAAAGCTCATGTGCTTGGGTGTATGTCTTCCTCTTGCACTTGTTATTTGCACATTGAACTTACTTTGCAGTGACACTTCTGCTTGTGGTCTGTGTGGATCTGGACATTTCATGTAGTTCCAAGCTCTGGCATTTCCTTTGGAGCCCAGTGGGAAATTTTACAAGGAATCAGTTGGCTACTGATTCTGTATTTCCCAGTCCTTCGTTAATATTGGCATGCCTCCTGCTTTGTGTACCAGTGCTATTTACAATCACTCACTTCCATTCAGTCTCCCCTCCTTATACATGGCAAAGAAAATAAGGCTTTCAGCACTTATTTCTAATATGCCCACTGTTTCCCAGCTGTATTTTTCTGTTTTCCCAAGGCAAATCCTGCACAGGAGCATGGGAGACTGCCCTGTTCCTCAGCAGCTCCTGCTAGCTCTAGGGGCGATCTCTTTCCCCCAAAAGCCTTGAAAGCACTAAGGCCATACAAATCAATGATGTAGTTTAGGACAATTGCACTGGAGATTAAGAAGCAGGAATTACATCAACCAACCTTGAGAGGCATTCATTTTGGAGTCTGAGATGTTTGAAAACTAGGCAACAGCAACAATTTAGCATTCTGTATCCTGGTAAGCCATTTACCAGGCCAAGATGTCATTTTTCCCCAAAACCTCAAGATAGTATTTGTTAACATCAATCCTGATGTTACGATATAGGAGCAATGTCAATGCTATGCACCAGAAAAAGGCACTCCAAATCCATCACAGCAAACAGACTGAATAATGGTTGTAAAAAAGACAAAATTGTTATGGAGAGACAGTGAAACAGAAGAGAGACAATTTCCATCAACGAAGTCCTCTGCATGTCATTATCTCACTCTTGTCAAACCAGAGACATTTTTAGTCTAAGAACGGCCACTGTTCTCCGCCAAAACGTTTAGTTGCTTTTAGTAATGCAGTACATTAAATTTGTACCTTCTTGTTCTCTGTCATACCTGCAGTACTTCCTACAACAAATTTGATACCTTTCTTAGGACTGTTTAGAAAGACAAAACCAGTTATTTGGCCTACCTTTATATAATTAAACTTTACCTATGCTCTTCGTGCTAGTTACCATCTTCGTTGTTTAGTCTGCTGGATAAATATCTCCCAATGCACTTCAAAGAGTATAAAATGTATGCTAAACTTTGCAAAAATAGACTACACACCACCACTAATTCTGCATGAGACATCTTCAGATACCAAGCCAATGTTGACAGAGCAAATAGGTATCATAGAATTACAGAATGGTTTGGGTTGGAAGAGACTTCGAAGTCCATCTAGCCCAATCCCCCCACCATGGGCAGGGACATCTTTCACTAGATCAGGTTGATCAAAGCCCTGTCCAACCTGGCTTTGAACACTTCTAATGATGGGGTATCCACAGCCTCTCTGTGGAACCTGTTCTAGACCCTCACCACTGCCATTGTAAAAAAATTCTTATGTCCTATCTAAATCTACCCTCTTCCAGTTTAAAGCCATTGGCCCTTGTCAAAAGTCCCTCCCCAGCTTTCTTGTAGGCCCCTTTAGGTACTGGAAGGCTGCTCTAAGGTCTCCACAGAGCCTTCTCTTCTCCAGGCTGAACAACTCCAACTCTCTCAGCCTGTCCTCATAGGAGAGGTGCTCCAGCCCTTGGATCATCTTTGTGGCCTCCTCTGGACTTGCTCCAACAGGTCCATGTCCTTCTTGTACTGGGGGCTCCAGAGCTGAAGGCAGTACTCCAGGTGGAGTCTCACCAGAGTGCAGCAGAAGGGCAGAATCCCCTCCTTTGACCTGCTGCCCATGCTGCTTTTGATGCAGCCCAGGATACAGTCGGCTTTCTGGGTTGTAAGCGCACATTGCCAGCTCATGTCCAATTTTTCATCCATCAGCACCTCCAAGTCCTTCTCCTCAGGGCTGCTCTTGATCCATTCTGTGCCCAGCCTGTATTTGTGCTTGGGATTGCCCCATCCCAGGTGCAGGACCTTGCACTTGGCCCTGTTGAACTTCATGAGGTCAGCACAGGTCCAGTCCTCAAGCCTGTCCAGATCCCTCTGGATTGCATCCCTTTCCTCCAGCAAATCAACTGCACTGCTCAGGTGTCATTCACAAACTTAATCCCACTATCTTATGTCATTGATGAAGAAATTGCATAGTATTGGTCCCAGTACAGACCCTCGAGGGACATAACTTGTTACTAGTTTCCACCTGCACACTGAGCTATTGACACTAACTCTTTGGATGTGGCCATCCAGCCAATTCCTTATCCTTACCTAGCATTATCATCTAGCCTTGCATACGAAGATGAAGAATTTGTAACAGAAATGTATACCAAAACCCACTAACTATGGACCTGCTCTGTGCCATACTGTGCTGTGACACTCTTAAGTACTCAGTATATAAAACAAGACAATGAACACAACCATTATCTTTATATGTCACTGTGGAATGTAAAAACACAAAAACCAAAAAAACAAGGGAGATTGAAAATGGAAACCCAGAAACAACTTTCTCTTAGAACATCTAGATATGAACTTTATGGATCCAATTTGTTTAACTAAAACTGCCTAGGGGATAAAGATAACAACAACAAAACCCACTTTTAACGCTAGCCATCTGATTTGGCTAGATATTAAAGGTAGTAAAAAGCATGTTAGATCTGTAGCCTTCTTCCTGTCAAGCTTCAAGCCCCGGCTCCTGCAATCCAAGTTCTTTAAAAGAATCACCAAGAAATAAGGAAAGTTGCTTAAGCTATTTTCCCCAGTATCTGAAAAGCACCTATACTGGTTTTGCTAGGGAGAGTATGTCCAAATCTAAGGGCTTTCACAGCAGAAGACTGGGTGTCTAAGAGAAGTAGACTAGCAGGCTAAAAAGTTTATGTACCTGCTTTTTTATAATTTTCCTTTGGATTAATTTATTTATTTTTTTACATTACTGTGAGAAACCGTACCTTTTATGTTTCTGACCTTTCCCTTGTTTGGCTTGGCTTGCATTCTGATCCACTTTTCTCTCAGCAATCCCTGTTGTGTCAGAGACTTAGAACCTTAAGTTCTAAGCAGCACAGTATTTTCTAAAAGTTTTTACAAGGTATCACCACCAACCTGTTCCATGAATGGTAAAAGTCACTGTCAGAAAAACAAAATTCACTGACCAAGGACCAGAAGTAAACAAAAAAAAATTATTTCCATACAGTTTCGAGAAGCATAGGTTTCATTTGTTTTATTTACTAGACAAGAAGCAGCAGATTATTTTATTGAAGTAAAATTGTATTCAAAAATGGAATTCATACATCCAAAGCATTCAAGCATGTTCATCACTTAAGCCAGAAACTAAACCCAGAGCTGTTGAGATCAACGAAACAGGAAAAGACCAGCACAATCTTCAGGACACTGGCAGCAAAGTACTTTTCTGTACAGTTCTGTAAGTCACATAAGTACATCTTCAGGCACAAATTTGGCTTAGGCATTACCTAAATTTTTTAATGAGAACATTCATTAATTATAAAACTGCTGCTGTGAAAGAACCACCACAATTATTAAACTATATCTTCTAGCACACAAACAAACCCCACTGCTTTTACAAAAATGACTGAAAGAAAAAATATGGATAATGTATAAAAATAGAATAATTTTATTTTTAAATTGTCTGTTCAGCTTTTCCAGTATGTTTCTGCAGTGAACTGTAATCACTTGCCTTGTCAAAGGAAAATATGGGAGGCAGAAATAGCAAAGCTAATAGCATACCTGCAAATATGCTTTCTTAGATCTTGTTATGAAAATGCAACAGAGTATTACCTAGCCTTTCCTTTCTTCCATCAACTAAAAGGTATCACTGAAGAGAGGATGACAACTCGCTACTGACGTTTTTCTTTGGCCACTGTCTGATCCAGTTTGACAGTAAAGCTATTGCTAGTTTAAAACATACTCAAAATCTAACTTTAACCATCTCATACACTATCAAGCATGATAAAGATTATAAAAGCTGCCTTACACATTATCATCGGGCAAGGTTTACTCCATTCTTTTAAGCTTGTAACAATTTTTGAAGACACTGTAACCTCAGGAAGTTTGAAAGTGATCCACTCTTCCTTGTGCGCACCCAAACTTCAAGGTCCATCCAGGTTGTCATTGCTTTGGCAGGATGACCGAACACTGCACTGTTGTCTGAAAGACAAAGTCAAAGTAGATGAATGCATCCTCTGCCAATGCAGGGCGGAATCACTTTTCAATGAAAAGGTAGACTATGTAGCTTCCATTTGGATTACAAACAGGGGAACCCCTTCCATGTGCATAGTACCTCCAACTTCCTCCAACATCACAAAAGTGAAAAGAATTACAGGGAGGGCATACCCTACAACAGTTCAAGGACATGTCATTACAACTTTTTTTAAACCTATGTGACAGGCTTATTGGTATTGAGAACAACAATCAAATTGCAGAAACACTAAATTAAGGACTTCAGGCTCACAGGCTACAAATGAAAAATGTGCAGCTTGCTTTTGGCTTTTAAGACTAACTACTGGCTTACATCCATCTTCACAGAAAGTTCTTTACATATATAATCACAATGCTCTGAAAATGAAGTTCCTTAAAAAAGTGATTTCTACATGTTTCTTCATCAATTTTGAAGTACAGCTATCAAGAAGAGAAACCTTTCTCTAAAGGTACACTGCTTGGGAGTGAATGAAATACTCATGCAGGGACAGGCAACTTTGACATCAGCCACATTCAAGGGCAGGACGTGAGAAATGCTTCAATCTCAGCTTTCTTGAGAGGTCCTTAGCCTGCAAGGAACATAGTATGCAGGCCAATGCAACTACAGCTGAAGTGAACTCTTGATGAATTTTCCCCCTCCGTCTTATTCACCTGAGCCAATTCACTCCAGTCACATAAGTATGTTCACTGATTTCACTGAGGTATTTGAGGAAGAAAATTACTCAAGAATATTTACAAGAGCAGAGCTCTACATACATAGCTTATGAATGTCAGTTTCAGTTTGTGATAAACTAGAAAAAGTGACTGAAAAATGTTAACCTCTATGCCCTTCAACTTGTTAGTTACCAAACATATTAAAGTATGTCAGTGATGAAGCACGCTGAAACCTATCCACAAATACCTTAGCCAATCTAAACTATCCCACAGTATTCACTTACCACAGCTCTCTTATCAAAGCACAACATAATTCCTTGTATCAGGTCTGACAAATACCATTTCACATAGGCTAGTACAGAAGTCAAAAAAAGGCATGTAGTATCAGAATGTTCCTCACAGAGTTAAGAAGTTTACCTGAGAAACATTCACAGAAGCTCTAACACCTTACCACAAGATGATTTTCTTACACTCATCCTGTAAGAAAAATTAGTTCTAATATGACATTCCTTTTACCATCCCAGTACAGATTCTCTCTCAATCTTTATAGATTTGAATCTTACTGTAATAAAGGTACAGAGTTCAATTCCCAGTTGTTACGAGTTAAAATTCTTTTCAACAAGACAGTTTTTTCTCTCTCACCAATACTTTTCCTAACAAAGACAGAAAAGATTCTACTATATTGGTTTCCTTCTGAAAATGTTTGCTGTCACTAATTAATTTACTTCATCCAGCAATGAGCCCACATTTTTCTTGATCAGGTTTTGATATCAATGCAGTGACTGAAGTTCTTGTTGCCTTTGATGTCCCTTCCGAGTGTCAACTATAGGCAAGCCCTACACATCTGCTCTTGCTTCTGGATTCCTTCTTTGTAGTTTGCCTGTTTCCAACCCTTGAATACCGCATTTTTGCACTGGAGCTCTGTTTCCTGTTCAGCCAAGTCAGCCTCCTGATTGGTCTTTCTGTGGATCGCTCCTGCACTTGGAAAATGCTGCCCTTAAAGACCTGCCAGCTTTCTGGAGCTTCTTGCTCCTTCAGAGCTGCCTCCCATGAGATGATACCTAATAGTTCACTGGTTAAAGCCAAGTATGCGCACCTGAAGCTCGGCATTTGTACTCTGCTACTTGCCTTCCTTGCTCCCCACAGGATGCTGAATGCCACTATTTCATGAGCATTACAGGAACAATTGCCAGTGATTATCACCTCACTAAACAACTCCTCTCAGTGAGCAGCAGGTCCAGCTGTACATCACCCATGGCTAACCCACCCTATGCGGAAATTTCCCTGACACCAGCCAGAAATCACTTATACCACTGTGATCAATAGCAATGTCTGTGTTTCCTCATCCATGACATAAATACAACGTAGTCACACCCTGTTCTGAAAGAGTAAGGGCTTCATACCCTGGTCACGCCTCAAAATGACAGGCTGTAGGAAGATGCTGTGCCTGCAGAGGAGTTTGCTCCAAACTTTTTTTTCACAGTCATGTAACCTGAGCCTGGAGAAGGATCTCTTCTTACAGCAACACAGCCAGGAAATACTGGCCTAAAGACATCTTAGGCAGATAAAAAATAGTAACTTTCGAACTACACTTAAATTCAATGGTGTATCACAGATGAAAACACACATGAAAAGGAACGGATGGAAGGCAGCCTATTCTTTAGCAGAAAAACAGCCTTTGGACACTTTTGCTTTAACATTCCAGGGTTTCCTAAAGACTACTGTGAAATTCAGAGGTGACACCACCACATGTGGGTGGGTGGGATGCATACCTCCATGGGAGGAGACACATAAATGCAGCTGGCAAAGAGATAGGCAGCATATTTCCTCCTGCCTGGTGAAGTTCCTCCAGTCATAGTAGCCAGAGCTCAGGAAGGAAAAACTGTGTCCATGTAGAACTTTATGGTTTCACATGCTTCCTCAAATGCTAGAAACAGACACTGGCAAATGTCCATTTGAGATGCCCAGCTGCAGTCTGGATATAGGCTGGTATGGTTTTGCATAGTCACTGATAGCAGTGACCAATGGCTGCAATCTTGCTCAGAATCCTCCTTGTCTGCATTCCTTACCTCATTACCACAGGGCATGCAAGAGGCACTGCCTTTAAGCTCTAGAAAAAATGCCTCCAAAAAAGAGCAGTTCAAAAACTCCATCATCTGATCTTCAAAATTCCCAGAGTAAAATATACAGAAGACTTCACAACTACAATGAGAACAGTTTTTAAAACTCTTTATGGTTCAACCACCTCTCTGCTGTACTGCAAAACTGCCTCTCCATATTCACTAACACAGAAGTCTAGGACCAATCCTTCACCTACTTTACCACCATTTAATGCCTCAAACAAAGATTTTTAGCCTTTCCTGCCCTTCCTAAGTAAAATCAGAGGAAGCCTCCAAAGCCTCAGACTTTCCTGTCACTTCTCCAGAGTACTTGGTTGCATTAAATCATAAACAATTGTGATCCTACTCTCTTGACATAAAATCTCAATCCTCACTGCCAATACCTAGTTCCTGTTTCCAGTTCTTCTAATGCCTTCAGATCAACTCCCTTTCTCAGTATGTTATCACTCAAACCAAGCCACTATCAGCAAAGAGCATAAACACATAAGAATTGCCAACTCCAAGAGAAACTATCTCAATATTCATCACTGATACCAGGCAGTAGCAGATGTTTTTTTGTGTAAGAAGCTACATTAGAATGGACTGACCCTTTCTCTGGTGCATCATATTTTCTTTTAGCAAATAGTTCAGGGACTGAGCTGGAGGAAACACTTGAATCGGTGTTTTAAACAGCTGACAATGAACTGAAAGGAGGCTTTGCATTCATTAAAGAGGAACCTTGCAAACTCAGTGGCAGTTCTTTCCAGCCACCTGCTCTTCCACTCCCAATGAAGAATCAAGACAATTGTGCAAGGGAAAGCAGCAGGACATTGCTTACTAAAGTACACCTGCCAGAATTGAAGGTAGATCCCTCAGTACTTCAGCAGCGTTATATACTTGGGAAATTTCCTTGCATGCCAGCATGACCAAAGTAGCTGAGGAATACCTAGCATATTGTTCAGATTACTTGTTCAAACTCTGATTTTTTTTTTCTATAGCTAGGCATCTGTATTAAACAAAAAGTGTGGTCCAATCCTATGAAAATGTTTTCTGTGGATTAGAGGGGAGAATGAATACTGATTCTGTTGTCTCCCTTATCCATCCATGACACGTCTTCCTAAATACTGCAATGGGGAAATGGAAAAGTCAGTTAGCTCTCACTAATGTACAGAAGGGACATTAAAATAGCTGTTTCAGATAACCAGGTGAGGAAGGGTCATAAACATAACCCAAGACCTCCTAATAAAAAGGAGGTTCTCTAGTGAAGAATCAGTAAAAGACCCATCTCAAGGATTTAGGCTGGATCTCCATGAACCTGACCTGGTCAAGTACGCTTAAAATGTCCAGGGTGAATTTTTGCTTAATATGTCTTTCCTTTAGGACACTGATTAAACGAGAGGTGAGAGTCACTGACAAGAGAAGCATATTGGAAACAAAACTGAAAATTTCATCCCCATCAGAAGACACAGAAGATTTTTACAGCACATACAGTTCTGCTGATAGTTGAATTTCAGGGACACACTTTCAGGTGTATGAAGGCATGACTTATGTCAGTGTTCATCTTTCTTATCCATTCAAATTTCAGTCAACACAGTGATTTTCAGAAAACAGAAAGAAAGAACCTAAGAGAGGAGAGAGTTACCAGAGACTGGACTCTCTCGAAAGACTCCTCAACAGGCTTCCTCCTTTTCAGACTGCTGCTGCTTCCACTAACAGAGATCCTTGTGGCCCACTTCTGTCTGCTATCTGCCTTTCACACTCCAATTCTCTTTCCTTATCTCCCACACCATCTCAATGTAATCTTCAGTTGCTCTTGTGCTTCACGCTCTTGTACTCTTGGAAGTGGCTATTTGTCACAGAAAGGTTGTTGAGAAGTTGGATAGACATCCAAACTATTTTAACATTGTTCTTTACACTATAGCCACAAACGAACCTCAAGCATGCCTGCGAAACAGAGGTGACGTAAAACATGTATGTAAACTCTTGTCTAAGAAAAAATCTGCCTAAAAATTCCCTCACCAATTTATTTTGGAATGTTTTTATTTTCCTTTTTTTTTTCAGGCACTGTGGATCTGAAACGTGTGAGAGAACACAGTTCTAATAATTTCCAGCTGGTTATTACCCATACCTTGTAACAGGCTCTCCTTCTACATATTAAAGACAGCACAATGTTTTTCGTTTGATTCAGTCTTCTCCAGTTGGCTCTCCATTGTTCTAAGATGTAAGATAAAGCTGCGTAGGTGTACAGGTTTTTCATTTGAATACTCACACAGATTTGTATCTAACCTGTGCTGTGAAGGATAAGACTTCATCAACCATATACAGATGTCCTTAATTTTTTTACCTTTTGCAACAGTTCTTGTAAAACTGAAGCTAGATCTTTGCAATAAAGCTTGTGAGAGTCTTGCTTGAGTGGATTTGGTTTGTTGAAGCATCTACTCTAAGAAGTTATGATTTAGGTAGGAACATCTGGGAACATATAACTATATTATGTGTATATATGCACACATTGTCCCCAGTACTCATCAGCCTCGTGTGTGTACTTACTTTCAGGGTATGCAGGGTGCTGGTCCATTCCATCGAACTTATCTGAGGTATAGCAGTAAGGAGTATGCTAGTAGCCTTATTTGCATTCCCTTTCAGCGTCTTTAAAACTTTATCCACTGAAACCTAGAAATACAATAAAACTGAGTGGTGTCTCTCAATTACGACGGTACACATTTTAAATACCCAAATAAATTAATTTAATTCAAACACCTCTAAATTAAAAGATGAAGCCTTAAAATGCCACATTTTAGCCAGTAAAATCTTCTTTCCTCTGTGGGTGTATGTCTGATTTTATTTAACACAAACAGGAGAACTAAAGCAGATATATTGTTTTGTGTAGAGCTGCAAAAGAAAAAACACAAGACTAATTATGGGAAGACAAGTTCATACACCGAGCTCACAAGCTTCATACACACAGACCCCCTGATTCAAACAAGAGGAGACAAAAGGTTTGCTAGTGGTGAGGCAAGTTTATGAAAATGAACAAGGTAGCAACAATTGATTCTGTTCTTACTTTCACAATTGTTCATCCAGAATAACTCAGTGATACTTACGTAAGTAAGAATAGATTTAGTTCAGTATATGGTCTCTTATTAAAACCTACAGTTTCTCATCCAGATCCCTCAGGACAAGACCCAGAGGAAAAAAAGTTTCACTCACTGCTTCTTCATGTTCCTTCCAGCAGTCATAATCTGTTGCCATGGCAATACTAGCATAACTCATTCCAGCTTCTTTCGCAAGAATCACTTCAGGCACTGTGGTCATGTTGATAACATCAGCTCCCCAGCTGCGAAACATCAAGCTTTCTGCTCGAGAACTGAAACGTGGGCCTTCAATTGTGATCACTGTCCCCTTGGAATGACACTGGACCCCAAGCTTCTTGGCAGTCTCAATAAGAACCTACAAAACATGCCAATATCAGGAAAAGGAAATAATTCCCCTGGTGCACTGCTTTTGCATCCCATCAAAAAACTTACATACAAAAGAAATTAGCTTTATATAAAGCAGCCAAGCTTCATACAGCTACAGCTGTCCAAAACCAAGGATGGGTTTTAGTTTCCTCATCCAGCAAGAGAAATTAATAGTCCTACTAACAGGAATGATCTTGAACTCATCTGATTTTCTTAGTATTAGTTGGATTACCGCTTTCAATGCAGACCAAGAAGACTGGAAAACAGAAAATTTTTGCATGGTATTTAGGCTCTGCTTACATTGAGAACAGAATGGTGAAAACACTCCACTGAGTACTACATTACCACATGGTGGAGTTGAACTGGTGAGTACAGTAATAGGAAATTTACTTTTTGAAAGTAAAACTTTACAAGCACATACTTCAAAGAGTACCCTGGGAATCTGCAGAGAAATTATTACCACATTTTCCCATGCCAGTGACTGAGCTGTACACTTTACACGTACCATGTACTTCACAGCCTTCTCAGTTCCAACTAGAACCTTGTGTGTGGCAGAATCATGACTTTCTCTCTTTGTAAATGGCCTGTGTAACACCAGTTGATACAGTAGGAGCAAGAGTGTACTAGCATGTGTAAATGGGACTAGGACACTTGTAACTGTCCTGAGTAGGAAGAATAAAGTAACTATGATGACATCTGTTTAAAATGACCATCAACAGAAAAGAAAAGTTTGAAAAGAAGTATAAAAGCAGCACGAAAAATTGTGACAGGACAGGAGAGACCTTCATAATACAGCAGCCCTGAAGACCTAGTCTTACACCACTAGAAGTTGTCTTGTCAGCATCATGACCTTCACACAGGCCAGGTGGAGGAGCCTCCTTGCAGAACGCTGTGAGAAGCTTGCGCTTGACCTACATGGATGCAACAAGGAGTAATACCTCAAGTGTGCTATGTCATCTTGTGGGGTGCCTCCTCGCTGGCAGGTGGATCAGTGGATTGTGTGGAGTACCACAAGTACACGTAAAGCTGGAGGACTCACATCTCCCACTGCAGATATGTGTAAACAGGTAAACCTGCATTCCCTGAAGAGGGTGGATGTGCATGTAACCCACATGTTGGGGAAGGGTATTTGTGCATGTAACTCTGTGAATATGTGTGTAGGGGTAAAGCAGAGCCTCTGTGGATTAGCCACAGAAGAGCACTTAGAAATCTGTAGGCATTTATTAACATGCGTAAGTTAATCTAATATTAATCACACCTAATATTGTGGTTTATTGCTGATGTTCATTCTGAATATACGATTAAGTGATTGCCAGTTGTTAATAAACCAACAGACAACTTCAATTGTGATTTGTCTTGAACCACAGCTGAGCAGTATTTCCCTTAGGCTCTTTACAAAGTTTGAACTTTAGTTCCCATAGGATGTTGCAGTGAGCCCCAGCTTCTGAAAGCTGTAATAACCAAGGTACCCTAGATTATTAAAAAATTTGCAGTCGGAGAAAAGATAAACTCCTTTCAGATTCTCATTTAACTTACAGTGCATAAACCAAACAAAACCAGAGTATTTTCATGTATTTGCACAATTGCAATTTAAGTTTTCAGATATTTTCATGCAAAATTCCTTAAATAGCCTATTACATTAATAGTTTTGGCTTTATTATTACTGAATTTATCTAAGAAATTCCCCTGAATTAGAATAAACTGGGCTGAAATGATCCCAACAATTTTCAGGGATCATTCCAGGAAAAAAGTTTAAGTCACTTTTATCTGGTATTTTCAAGTGAAGTGAAAGTATGCCTTTTCAGCCTCCCAAAGAGCTTAAACCCACATGTTCTTTAAAACATCTGTTAGGTTGACTAGAACACATAGGCTAATGAGATAGTGATCACATGGGAGACTGGGAAGTACCTAAATGTTTTTCTCTGTTTGAAAAGGAGCATTTCTCTGTCAAAAAATGTAATACCCAAAGAACATTGGCTCTTGCTACTTAACAGCTGAATGAAAACTAGCCTTAGTGTATGCTTCCTACAACCTCAGGAAATGCCTTATGCATAACTATTTACCTTTTTAAAAAAATGAGAGACACAGTGTGAAGTACTGTCAATCACTTCAGTAATAACACTGTTTTTAAGCCATTTCACAAAGTGTGCAGTTACCTCTCAATAAACTCCTATCTGTTGTCACATCATGCTTCAAGTCACTAAATAACTCTATGCCAAACAATCTTTGGTAAGACCATGTGGCTAGGCTCTTGCTGCATGAGAAATGCAAAATATTTTTCATAATTGCTGCTCAGTGGAAAAAGGGCAAAAGCACGCACATGTATAATATGTAGTGATTTGTTTCCTCATGAGATTTAAAGTGTCTTTACTTCATTGCAAAACACCTTGATTCCCAGTGCACTGAAGCATTGTTCTAATAACAATGCTGTGGGCCAGCTGGTGGATATCTTGAAATCACACTGTGTCTGGCCAATTAACAAAAATAGCCTATAGTGACACTGAAGTGAATTGGTGACAAGAGCAGAATAGCTCAGTAGTATAAATATTTGTACTTGAACTGGGTACCAATTGGGCCACCTGCTTAACAGTTCAGCTTTGTCCTGCTCAGTGCAGTAACTGACCGCACAGAGAGCAAGCCTCTTAGATGGACAGGACTGATTCTGCAAGCATTCGCATGCGGCTGGAGAATGTACCTCCTTGCAGCTTCTGATCAGAGCATTCCACAGAAGCACAAAACACACAGTTCAATGTACACCTTCCCTTTCCTCAACTCTGAAAATACACTAAGGTGGTATATTTAACCACAGATACACTGCTCCCAGATGCTTATAAAGGTGTTGAAAAACAGAGCAGTGTTTGACATTGCTTAATCTAAGTGTTTTTGAAGCCTGAAAATCTTGAAGTGACAAAACTAAGAGCAACAGTCAAGAATAAAAGGCTACTGTAATTTGGCTTGTTCCTATATTTAACATCCTTTAAACTGAGCCTTGACTCTCCACCAGCACCCACTGCTACAATGCACAAAAGCACAAATGAAATACTCTTAATTTCTGTGAATGCTAAAGTACTATTTATGTAATTCTTTGTATTAAGTATGTAGAGGGCCTCTACCACAGGTGGTGTTTTATTCAGAACAAAAAGGAACAAATTTCTAATTCTATCTTCCTGCTTTGTTCACTTTGTTGCTCTCTTGGCTTATTACCTGCTAAATAAGTATCTTTTGTCCTGTTACTAAGACGCCAGGGAAGTCTAGGTTGCCAACTGACATCTTCTGCATACCTCCTTGAGGAAGACAGCTCCTACAGACACAAGATCTTTTACTGCCCATGCCTTCCAAATGTTACATTTTTGCTTAATACCATGACATATCTGAGAAACAGCAATAAAGAGATGCAGATTGCCTCTGTATTCTAAGAATGCAAAATTAGACTACTATATCACAAATATGTGCCATAAAAATAACATTTCTGAATACTATTACAAAATTCACTAACCTCTCTGGTTTTGGTGCAGAATGGCTCTGCCATTGGAATATGACATACTCCTGAAAGAGTGGAATGCTGCCCATCATATAAAGTACAATGTCTTTTAGTTGTCCTAGAAAAGCAGAAAACATGCTTAGGGAGAAGAACAGGGAGAAAACAGAAGACAAAGTAAGAAATTTACACAAATCCAAACCCATACAATTCCTGGGAGCAAATAAAAATATCAGTATGATATTAATGCTCACCTGTAATCCTGTTTCGCATCTGTACAAACCTTTCAGAATTGAGCTCAAGAGTATAAAACTGTTACTCCAGTAGTGCATTGTCAATTACTTAAGAGAAAATCTGTTAACATGATGCTGAAATGCTGATTTATTCCTAAATGACAAACAGCCACATTATGCTGTGATTCTACTCAAAACAAATCAGTAATGTCTGAAAAAAAGAGCGCAGTAAGCCTTCAGGAAGGGAAGGAATCAAGTCTGAATTACCACAAACCTAGTTAAAATAGAGTTTGTTTGTATCATTGCATTCCTACATTGAAAGGATGGGAATTTATAGGAACAGCTTCCTGAACAAAAGAGGTGTGAATTCAAGCAGAAAACCCTGGAACAGGATCTTATTCTCAGAAAGACTACACACATGCATTGGCAGCTTGCAAGTAGAAAAATTCTTTTTCTCCCTTCTTTCAACTGAGAAACTGTTTCTTTGCATGGAAATGGTCAAACATGTTGCATAAATTACCATCCAGCATCCCATTTTGACAGCTAGTGGAACTGTTACTCACTGTCACTTTATCTTCCAATGCATTGCTTCAAGCTAATTTAGCCAAGTGGATACTGAAAACCCTCTGGAACAAAATTCTTAGAGACATTCCCTTCTTCCCTGCAGTGTGTCATATATTATACTTTAAGAGACAAATTAAGGCAACAGCCAAATTCAATCCACGGTTAAAATACAGTATTTCTGCTGGTAATACTGCTTACAACATTTCCTCACCCAAGTCACCAGTAAACATTTAAAAGAAGGTTTTAAATATAAGGTAAATGCTAGAATAGATTTGAAAACAAACAAACAAACAAACATGCCCCAAACCAGTACAGTAGCCTTAAGGATGAGATTATAAAATACTGAAAGAGATCAGCAAATTAAAAATGTATGCAAAATGGTATACAGCTGTTAACACTGGTTGAAATATTAATATTATTTTTTCTTTTATAGGACACTGAAGAGCTGCAAATAGAATGTATCTGATTTTACACACATTTTTTCAGTGTCTGCTAATGAATTATTTAGAATTGGAGGAAACGGGAAAAGTCATAATCCATTTCCTGCATTATAGTATTTCAGATGTCAGACAGGCCCTTTCACTCAGAAAAGCCCTGAGGAAAGATCACATATGTATAAATATTAATTTCTGACTTTCTGATACCCTATGTTCTTCAGAGAGAATGGCCACATGACTACATGTCCTAATAAAGAAATCGCACTATGTTTAGCACCATACATACAAATTGCATGGGAATAAGTACCAATAGTAAGATCTATGACTGCTCTGAGCAACGGACCACACGTGTTTGCACTCAGAGTGCAACAACTTCTCTTCTGTATGGATGGCTGCAACTCTGCAAAGGCCACAGCTATTCAACATGGGGCCAGTCGAGGTATCTGTAAATTGCTAGGCTTAGGGTGAGAAGAAAGGTAGATTTGAACTAATCTCTCAATCTTGCTACCTATGAAGTAATGGCTGGCACAGAGGAATGCCTTTTAGCCTCTCCTCCTTTCTGTAGCCCTGCTACTCAAGTCAGGAGTTGGCCATCCTGACCTGTCTCACTCACCTATCTGCAAGATACAGGGTAGCAGCACATAATTTTCACCACAGCAATACTGTTCCTCTGTATCGCTTGCAGGCAGAATGAAGGTTACAGAATAACAGATGCTTTCCTTGCTTTACTCTCACAGACACCAAGAGCCAAAGAGCAAACAACAGCACCTGTCTTTTAAAGCTCCTCTCATTACAGGAGTTTCAAGACCTTCCCCACATATCCTGAGTGACTCCTTATGGAGCCAGTAGAAAACAAGAAATAAGGAACTCAACAGCCACTCTTCAAAGACAATCTACTCCTTAGATCTCACCGTTCTAAATGTGGGGAAGTCTGCATGCTCTCCACCAGGAGAGCCTGCTTAGCAACAGGGCACGACTGAGTGTTTTACCACTGTCTGATTGTTTACATTACACCAAGTGCCTGCCTAGAAACTAGCCACGCTACTTGCAGAAGCAGCGCACAATCCAGAAGGATCAAACATAGATAAAGGGAAAGTAGAGAGATATTCCCCGTGGGCGATATCAGAAGCAGCACCTGAAACCATTGGACTTGATAACTAGAAGCAAGCAGCTAAGAGCCAGTGCTGCACAGCTCCTGCTGGCCATCTCATCTCTGCAGGGCTCTATCGAGAACCCTCACTGGACCGTCATGCTGCCTCTGTGCCAAACAGTGGATGGTGGTGCAGAAGAAAAGGGAATTCTTTCACTGGGAAAGGGGTATCTATGCTTTTAGGCATAACCACTCATTGCACAAGCATACCCTTGCACTGTTGCATAGTTTTGCCATGCCTGCCTTGCCCTTACAGCTTTTTCAAATTCAACACTGCACATACTGCAATTTTTGAAGGTATGCCCAGAGTTTGTATTCTCCACCCTGCCACACTTTCAATAAGACAGTAAGGTGGCTTTTCCTTCTTCATTTTGATTTTATCACAGTAACACAAAGATTTTCTGCCCATGCTGACTATGACTGATGCTAGGAAGGAAAATCCAACACAAATAAGTGAACAAACAAATCATTTCCATCTGTGACAAACAGTCCTCTACGACTTGCATCATCACCTTCCCCTTTCTTCCAGTTGTGTTGAATTACCAACAAGCTACCAGTAATTAAATAACAAAATGAAAATTCACACTGGTATCTGCTGTATAAAAAGCAGACTCACCATGCTCTGCTTCTTCATGGACACTGAAAGAAAATTCTCTCATGAAAAATTGGGAGTGTAACAATACTGTAATAATGGCAGTGGTGTATGTGACACAAAGAATTCAAACAAAAAAAGTTGGCAGCTGTTACAGGACTTATGAAGCTATTTTATACATCTTCCCAACTGAGCTGAGTCATCCAAGTAAGTAGTTACCTTCTTACTCTTCTTTTCCCATCAAACATCAGCAGCAAACCAAACAAAGTATTAAAAAGCCTCTAATCAGTCTCATCTAGCCAGTCGACTCACAGTGCTGTAATAAGCTAACTGGAGCCAAAGGCATAAAAAAAAAAAAATCCAGTTTGTTTTCAGGCACTTGTTTCAAAGAAGAGAACAGCTGTTGTAGCCCATAATAGTACCTGTGGTTACTTTTGGATTTGGAAGCAGGGAGAACACCATGTAAATATTTTGGTACTTACTTAACAAATTGTATCTTTTATTGTTTAACTACACACACCATTAGGTAAGCATGAAGAAAGCAGAGACTCTATACAAAATCAAACACTTACTAGGAGTAGTGGTCTGCAGAATTAAGCTCTCAAAAGTTTGGAAATGCTATATAATTCTAATTACACCTATTCAGTGTCTCCCACTACAAGTCAAACCTATGCAGGTTTGACTTCTGCCTAAACTAGGCAGAAGTCCTACACAACTCCATATATTGAGTTCCTGTCATTAATGCCACAGTGTGCATGCCCAAAGGGAGCAAATTACAACTGCTGCCTACAGCTTTCTGCTCAATTCTAGCTCTTCTTTGAGGTCTCTTCCAACCATAATGATTTTATGATTCTATGATTCTCCCATTCCCATTCACTATTCCTTCTTCTTGCTTCATACCTGAAAAGAGAATAATTACGTGCTCCCTATTGAGAACTAGACCTTAGATACCAAAAGGTACCTGAACACCTGGAAGGCACTGATTTTAATGGCAGCTTGAGTAAGTCCTTCCCACTTAGACCCAAGCCTCTTTCCCATGTAGTGCCTGGCATGGGTTAATCACTATATAGAAGTCAAGGTACCTTTCAACAAAAATAACTGTTTTTGCAGCTTTAACCAGTACCTTCTTTCCAAGATTGCTGACATGTTTGTTTGCAAGACCCTGATCTTTCATTAGAAGGTATTTCAGAAAAATTGCACCTTTTCAGACTTTGGTGGAAAATTAATCTTGTTTTGTCCTATGAAAATATCTTCCTCTCAGCAGCATTGTTTTCATAATGATTTCATATATAATGCAATCACTCTTACAGATGATACACCCCTGTGAAAGGCAAAAGTGCAGACCCTACCTCCAAAGAACCATTAGTCTAACACCCACTGGCAAAGATCATCAGAGAAAAAGACTTATTACAGAAATCAAATTGCCAAATGAAACAGCCTACTATGACTTCTGAGTTTCCTGAATTCAAGGGCAAGCTAGTAATGATTTTAAAATTCATATTATATATTGTTTTCCACACTGAAACATTTTCAAATGCTTTTCTGAGGAGCTTCTTGGTTTCCTGAAGCCATGAAACAAGTCCCCACAAGTTCCTGCTCTTCTACATCAAAATGAAAACTTACTTGCCCAAACGAAACAATGCTTATATACAGGTTATGTCATTACTACTGGTAACCATCTGCACAGACTCTAAATGAAGACACAGAATCATGGAATGGTTGAGGTTAGAAGGGACCTCTGGAGGTCATCTGTTCCAACCCCTTGTTCAAGCAGGGCCACCTAGAACTGGTTGTCCAGGACCATGTCTAGGTGGCTTTGGAGTATCTTCAAGTAGGGAGACTCTACCACCTCTCTGGGCAGCCTGTGCCAGTGCCTGGTCACCCACACAGTGAAAAATTGTTTCCTGATGTTCAGAGGGAACCTCCTGCATTTCAGTTTGTGCCTGTTGCCTCTGGTCGTGTCACTGGGCACCACTGGGAAGAGCCTGGCTCTGTCTTCTTTGCACCCTCCCATCAGGCATTTATATACATTGATGAGATCCTCCTTGAGTCTTGTCTTCTCCAGGCTGAACAGTCCCAGATCTCTCAGACATTCCTCATAGGAGAGATGCTTCAGTCCCTTCAGCATCTTTGTGGTCCTTTCCTGGACTCTCCTCAGTATGTCCATGTCCCTCTTGCACTGGGGATCCCAGCACTGGAAACAGTACTCCAGGTGTGGCCTCACCAGTGCTGAGTAGAAGGAGAAGGATCACCTCCCTTGACCTGCTGGCAACACCCCTACTAATGCAGCCCAAGATACTATTTGCCTTCTTTGTTGCAATGTAAATGATCCCTGTCCTTTCACTCATCTTCACATCAGATAAATATACTGATTCGTTCTATAACTTTTTTTTTTTTCCTTCTTGAAAGGGATACGTTCTTAAAACCCAAACTTAACCAAGCTGATTTATTTCCTTTCCGGCTCAGAAGCTCCAATGCAAACTGGCAAGTGCTGGGAAATTTAAAGCTGTGGGAAGAGATTAGGTAGCTTCAAAACGAATTGTTAATGACATTTTACATAAAGAATGGTCTCAGATTTCATATCTGGGTTAATTTCCTGGCTCTGTTAATGTCTTTCTGTCTGACCTCTGCAAGAGGTAGTTTCTCCATACTTCCACCTCTCATCCGTAGCTGATAATAATACTGCAGTAATTCCAACTGTTTCTTGTTTAAAAGTGCAGGTTCTCTGGGCCAGAGGCTGTTTCTTACCATGCATGTAATTCACAATTTAGCATGGTTACACTCCCCTTCCCTACCTAGGAGTCTGGTAGATGATAATGCCGTCAAAATAACTGGTGCTTTACTCACAATCATCCAAAATGTGTAGCCAAGGATGTTTAATACCTTTCCTACATAAATCAGTATTGATACTGAAATTACTTCCAAGTACTACTGGCAGAATAAGGATGATTATGATTTAACCTGTATAAACAAAGTGATCAGTCTAAATACTTCTAGAGTTGAAAAAAAGAAAAAAAGACAAAAAAAAAAGACCATTGTTAGCAATTCAGCTGGTCTCCACCCATAAATCAACTCTAGTGTAACAGGAAGCAGTTTGTATGGGGCTTGCTCCCACAGGGTACTTAGTCATTTAGATACACTGTACTTAAAAAGTACTCTATTACACACATAAAAAAATGTAAGTAAGTCAAAACTTGAATAGCATTGCACTGCAGAGAACAAACTTAGGTATACATGTTCAACTGGTAATGAAATATTGCCAGCAGCCCCACAAAAGCACAAAGAAGGTGCATAAACCATTCCAAACACGTAAAATTGGGTGGAGTACCCAAGCCTTCCAGATATAGTACAGCTATAAGTACTAATACAAGATTTACCTCTTAAAATGTGCAACTACATTTTTGAAATATTTGGTATAGTTGGTGATCCTTAAATGTAGCTCGCCAAACCCCCCCCCCCCCATTTGCTTGATTTTTTCTAAATATCAGATGATCAAGGAGGGGAGGACTGACTGGAGGACAGACACTTTGGAAAAACTTACTTCCTTATGATTCTTAGCAAATAGAAAATGTTAGCATCTATCCTTGTTTTAAAACAACCTCCTCTCTTTTCCCACTGTGTTGCATTTGATCTCTCTTCATTGATCTCTCATCATTACCGCACATATTTTCCTACCTGTCTCCCGCTATGCTTTCTAGCACCTGTCCATCTCAGATTCTTCTTAAAACTTAGAATAGCCTGTGCTCTTATCCATGTTCCTCCCCCATATATGAGAATAGATCTCTTCAGAAGACTCTTCCCAAGGAGATACATTTTAGTTCATTTGAGGCAACTCTTCAATGGCTGGTATTTCTTCTGTCTGTTAGAGCTGAACTTCTTGTAATCTCATTCCTGTTTCCTATCACATTTTCTTGTATGAATCTCACTTTTTTCCATAAGAACTGAGGCTATCACCTCATTCCACAAAAACTTAATTTAACATTAACATGTTATTATATGGTTTAGCCCCACTTATCCCCTTTTTTCTCCCCCAAAACTAAGAACACAACTAAAACAAAATGTTACTCACCTGTCAATGAACTGGTCAATTATGACAAGATCACCAGGTTGTATTTCCTCTCGTAATGAACCACAGGCAGTAGTCACTAATACATGCGAACAATTTTCTTCTTTCAATGCCCAGATATTGGCACGGTAATTGACGTTCGATGGCATAATTGTATGATGCCTTCCATGTCTGCAAAGACACACATTGCAGGAGAGTAAAATAAATCAGACTGAAATTGCCTTCCTTCTCCTAGATAAACAGAATGCCAGGAAATGTAATTTCCCTAAAAACATTGGAAGTAGAACTGATAATTTCAGCTATTTCCAGCATAACTTGTTTTCCTAACTGTATTAAGGTTCTCTCAGTATTTGATTTAAGAAGTAGTGGTGTAGTTTTCTTTTTAAATGCAAAATTTTTAAGTTCAAGACTGTAACGAAAAGAATCTTGAAAATATAATCCAAATATACTTTAGCAGCTTCAAGAGTACAAAAAGCATTTTTCTCTGAATTTTGTAAGTCAGTTCCACAGGACCTGAAAACCCAAGTGTAGCAAATTAAATATTCCATGGACTACAACAAATTTCTAAGATTTATATATACCTCTACAAATTTTCTGCTCAGAAGTACTGTTTGTATTCTCCCACCCAGAAGAGCGGTGCATCACAGGAAATTAAAAAAAAGAAAGAACACACTGTTTTAATCTGTCACCTTCCCAAAGAAAATAGTAGAATCATCACATTTTTCTCTTTGCTTTTAAAATGATCTGACAGTTTTCATAAATTAGACGTATGACTTCATACTGTTGCAGTGCATTTTTTCACCAAGACAGGAAATACTTAATCTCATAAACACTAGCTTTCAGGTTATCTCTGTCATCACTACAGAGGCACATCACTCACATAATGATTAAACATATTTGAAAATTATTTTCAAGTGTGTGAGAGAAACGGAGGAACTTAATTTCCCAATTGATTCTTTCAGAGACCAAAAGGTCTTAAGAACTTGATCAGTTGGGAATTGGGAATTGCACACAATATGACCAAGCACTGTCAGGCAGGATTCCCACGTTATCATTAGCATTTCTGGTAAGTTACTAGGCATGCTTAATGTTGCCGTTGTTGTCATAATCCTCTTCCAGAACATACCTGCCTTTTTTTTTTTTTCTAAAATCTGGCATTCAACAACTCTGTCATTTTTCCCAAAAAGTGAAGTTGCAGGAACCTTATCCCTAAAAGCAAACTCATGAGGGTCATATGTGAATGGCCATAAATCCCAGAGAGGATGTAAACCACAGCCATCTGCAGCCCAAGGCCTACTTTGATACAGCACAGCTATGAGATCCTGGCATTTAATTTGAGAAAATTAGAAAAATGTTGTCCAGGTATAATAAAATACATAAGCAAAGTCCATGCAAGATAAGAAAAGTAAAACCAGAGACAGAAGTTTAGTTGCAGAGATGGTTAACGGTCAGCAGCTTAATGAAAAAATACTGGAATGAAAAGAATCGGGGCCCTCAAGTGGGCCACTAGGTTGTAATTGCCCTGGCCAGCCTCACCCTGGGCCTTCACCCAAGCAGCCGGTGCCTGTGAGCCCAGGTGTTCCTGCCTCCAAGCTCAGGCTCCAGCCTTCACTTCTGGCCTGAGGTATGTCACAGGCGTGCCTGTCCCCAGCCCTGTCTCCTGGATGGCCTTCAGACCTATGCTGTAGTTTTGTCTCCAGACCTGTTTTCCAGATGGACTTTGGACACACACTGCAGCCTTGTCTCCAACCCTGTCTCTAGCTCCATTTCCTACTGCTCCTACCTGAACGCCCTGGATGGATCCTGGACTTGATTCATCACCTCGACTTGTCTGGGACTGTTGATGGACCCTGTTATCAGCACTTGGCTCTGCCCATGCTGTCCAGATGCTGAGAACTGTGTTTGTATTCTTACATTTAATCTAGTAGCACATTGGCCCCAGATATCCACAGTTACATTAACATGAAATTTCCATGCACTCATCTGCAGATCCTGCTTCCAGAGCCTCTTCTGAGCATGGTTAAGAGATGTCTGAATAAAAATGACCCATGGAGGAACAACTACAGGGGATGCAGCCTCCTAAGCAATAAAGGTAACAGCCAGAGGACTCAGTAATTAAAGGGAATGATTTGGAAGAGTCTATGGTGGTACCAGAGATACAGATCATCTGGAAACAGGCTATTTCCCAGTTTCACCACAGAAATTTGCTAACACAGAGAGCAGATGGATTACTCAGGTTATCAGGCACCACCCACCTACCACTAGAGCAGGCAGCCTTGCAGGTTGCCACTCGTCCTAAGGCAGCACCCCACACTAGATTTCTCTTTCCTAACCTAAATGGTATTTTTTTAATACTCTCGGTCCCTGCATCATCAAATTTGTTCAGGAAAAAAACCCCAGATTTCTGCTGGACTTTGTGAGCAACTACACAGAGCAAGATGAAGTCAGAGTAAAAATTCAGTTCACTGAATGTGAAAAGAAAAAACTTCTGAGAAAACTTTAAGGCACATAATATAAAACCCTTTAAAATGCTCATTTACCTTGCCAACAGCACACAGTCCACATTTTTTATCTTGCCCAATATCAAAGCATCTGATGGCTGCAAAACAAGCAAATAAGAATGAGTTACAGCCTGACAATCACATCAGAAACCTTAAGTGCTACTTAAAAATAAGCAGGATAGTTATGAAAGGAAATACTGGTTATCACTGTAGTCTCACATTTTCTTCAGCTCAGCTCTGTAATTTCATATGGCAGATTAGTAAAACAGTATGGAACACGAAGATCAAACTTGACACCAGAAGGATTATCACAATTTTTCTGTGTTCATACCAACATTAATATTGCAACTCCTTACTTTAGGGTTTGAAACAGGAATACTTTCAAATACTCTGAAACAGTACTTCAAACAGACAAAAGCAGCATGTTAACGTTGCCTTTAAATTGGTTATCAGGCCTCACTCTCTCTTGTAAACTTTGGTTGCTTTTTGCTACACAGGTGCTATTCCCTACTAAAAGCCCTCTCCCAACAGAAATCACATTTAATCCTTCCCTTTCCATAACACTACTCATTCTCTTCTCTGTTCCTTTTCTACCACGGTCCCCTAGTAGGTGTGTGAGGAGGAGTTCTAGACTCCTCCAACCAACCCTTCACTCCCTCCCAGCTTCCTGATAAACTCCTTCTTCCCTACTGCTGGGAACCCAGCTTTTGGGAAGTGAACTGTGATATGACAGAACCTCTGGTACACTAATGGCAGAAGCAGTGTGGTATTTAGTCTGTCTAGGAACCAGGAGACATCATGTCCTCTCCTCAATGACAGCATGGATTCCTCCTGACTAACGAACTAGCCATGAAGCCAGAGCATTTTGATTTCAGCTGCCCAGCTGGGAAATGTGTCCTGCCTTGGAGATGGTCATATTGCCCATGTGGGCAACCCGCAAGCCATCAACTGCCACTACAACAAATTAACTGCTCTGTGGGCTGTGTCCTGTTCCTGGGCTCTGCGCATCAGGGATCTGAAATACACAATGCTTCCAGCTTCCCTTTTCATTGAAAAAATGTAGGGCCTCTGTTTAATTAGATGCTGAATTGCATTTGTGCTGAACAGTGGTGCAGTTGGATGCACTGCTTCTCCCGCCCAGTTCAGAACCGCATGCGTTTCACTCCTTTTATTGTAGTATAGGAGAAACTGTAAAGAAGCTGGAAGCCACTCTGTGCCAATCTCTCCTTCTATGCCCTGGGATTTAAAGCTGAAATAGCTATTAACAAAGCTACTATTTACTTACTGATCACAATTTTGCAAGTTTCTGGAAGGACTCAAACAGTTGCATTTAGAAATGTTCTGCTGCCTGCCACTTGATATAATTTTATTAGTATTTTAATGCTACATGCAAGATTTCAATTAGCATTTAGTATTATAGCTGTTAATTATATTACACACTTGAAAATTTTCAGAGATCTAGAATAAAGTAACGTGAGTTTCACGTAGCTGCATTGTAGAGATACTAATTTCTAATAAACCCACCACTTTCTACTCCCTATTGCACAGCTCTTTTTGCTCATTTTTAATGTGAAATCTCTTCAAAGCACCACAATTACTCAATCACCTAGATTTAAATTCTGCAAGACACAATTTACTACTTTTTTTTTCAATAAAGGGAATGTCCCAGAAAATTTATGTTTAGAACTGTAGTGTATTCTGACGTCTTTTTAAAAGTTGGTATTTAATATTAACCTATTGATATTTAAATATTTAATCTACTTACCTTATTTTATGTATACTCTTCTGAACCAGACATGGCTTTAAGAGTGAAATTTCACAGAGAGTAAAAGCCTTGCTACCTAGCTGCCAAGGCATTTTGAAGTTGCAACATTCCATAACAATGAAGGTTCATAATAATTAGCATTTGGGGTTTTGGTTTTTGTGTTTGTTTTGTTTAGAGCACATATTTACTGTGTGAAGTAGTAAGCATGTAACTTAGCTCACAGTAGGATACAAAAATACTTTAAAAAACTAAAGACGACTTCAGACAAAACTCCTTGCCTCCTATGAAAATGAAAAATGAAGATCAGTAAGTTGAAGACTGGACATTTCACTTCACAAGTGACAGATTCAAGTTTATTGTAAGTGACAGATTCAAGTTTGTATCAATTTCCAAAAGATTTGGGGTAGAAAGGTGCAATTTAACTGCTATTTGATATTCATCCCCACCACAGAACTCCACTGAATTCTGGCATACACTGCTGATGCAGCAAGAATGCAACAGCTTTGAAATCCAATAGGCTTCAAAATCTAAAAGCAGCAGCCAGGGTTTCCTTCCCTATCTGCTGCTATCCTAGTCACTTCAAAAGGCTTCAGTGTGGCCATGTAACAGGACCAGTCCTCATCTTTACACAGACTTCCACAGAACACATTCAAGGCATCTTCCAGGTGACTATCTGAGTACCTTTCTTGCATGATTGCTAGAAACATGGCAGAGAAAAAGAAAGATTTGGAACAAAGAATATACTGCTAAATGATGAACTGACAGCTTAAGAAAAGAATTTGCAGATACTGCATCATGGGTTACTAAGAGAGGAAATCAGGATAAATCAGAGTGTGTGAAGTTACAAGGAAGTGAAAGATACAGAAATTTCAAACTGTGTGCTAACCACGTAATAGAGCTAATGTATGCTTCCGTTCGCTCTCTTTCTCCCCCAAGTTCTTTCCAATGCTGTACTTTTCTACTAATATCTCAGTTGTAGTCAGCAGCATTGAAGTGCTCATAAAATAATAAAAACTTCCAATGGAACAATCCAAATTTAAAGCTGTAATACAGTATATTTAAAGCAGGATTTAATAAAAGGCCTAATAAAAAGTTCTCAAACACTAATAATTCATATATGTATTTAACTACTTACCCCTTCCACAAAATCCAAGTCAGATGTATGTTACTCAGTGTTGCAAAACAGAAAAGGAAGCTAAGAACCCTGGGTAGTTAACCCTAAACTATGACAGTAACGATCAATTGAAATAAATCCCTTTTGTCTGCAGCATAAATATACATAAAGTACTGTTCATGCAGTGCTTACAGAATTCATTGCTTCCTTGGTCTCATCTCAGAAGCAAGCTGGAACAGAAAATAGATTGAACAAGAAAAATAAAAGTCTGAAGGAAAACTTGAGATGGAAAAGCATCTCATAGGTTCCCTAAGCCCTCATTTAACCTATGACCTAGTTTAGGAACCAAATGACATACATCTTTTTGGCTAGGCAGAAGAGGAGCTTAACTCTTACATCACATGGTCTGATTTTCCTGATGCAAGCATACAAAGCTCATTTGCAAGGTGGAAACTCCCCCATGCTTGCTTTGCCAGATATACCTATGACCAAAAAAAGACGGGGGCACATAAAATAATTTTCTAGAACAGGAAGATATTTTGCCATTTGGGGAAAGGTGATTCAGAACCAAGTTCTGTCATCCAGAAAGTAAAACAATCTAACTGAAAGTACATTCTGAACAAAGTTTTATTAGTAGCTTCAAAATTCAATGATGAAGATAAATGTTGTTGCAAGCAATTTTCTTATCTTACAAGAGAACAATGTTTTCCGTATCTGGAGATGGAATGCCAAAAGGTTTTAGGGTATTTTCTAGGGAATACCAAATTTTTGGTTCAATGAAAATGGTGGAAGTGGACAAGGGAGAAAAGACAGCTGGAATATTAAAAGCTGTTAGCTTATTTATTTTTTAAAGTAAACCAGTGTACTGCATTTTCATTAGTATTACTAATGTAATTTGAAAGATCATGGGAGAACCAATGCCAATATAGAGAACTGCAAAAATTCTCATACTAGTTTCCTTTAGACTTTTCCGTATTTCATCTGGAAAGAATATCCCAACATTCCCTAATGATGTAAGTTTTGTTATTAAATGATTCTTACAATTGAAGAAGGACAAAGACAACAATTCAAGGACTCTATATGAACAAAATGTAAGCTATTATTCTGCTTCTAAAAGTAAAGAAATGGCATTAAAGAAACATCTATTTTGTTGTTGTCAAATGTCAAAGGTGTCAAGCAAAGTCACCACCAGAAAGGTTTTCCATTAAAAGTCTTTTGGCTATGTCCTTGCTAAGAAACTTAAGAATTAAAAAGCAAAATATGAGGAAAGTAGAATTGTACACTTTGCATTTTTAAAGGATAGAATGAAATGGACATACTTTTTTTAAACTATGCCTTGTATTTTCCTTTTGACATTCTGATACTAATTTTCATTCTTTCCAGTTTTGCTTGAACTAAATAGACTTGATGTTGCATCTCTAATTCTCTCAGCAATTAAAAGACCATGAAGTTCTGAACAGTTTATTTAGGTTAAGCCTTTTATCTCTTAAAATTTCAGGCAGATTATCTCTCCACTGATGTCATAGCTCTATGAAAAAGCATCTTTATGGCAGAAAAATCCCAATTAGGTTTTCCTTCAGTAACAATCAAGAACAAGACACACCTTTAGAAAAAAAACACTAACATAAACCACAAACTTCTAAACTTTTCCAATCACTCTTAAAAAAAAGTTCTCATTTGCCCTTTTACATTTGGCAATAGCTGCTTCTTTCATCTCTGTTGTTATAAAATGAAAGAGGCAGGCTGTGTAACACCTCCTTCCTGAATGTTAAAAAGTCTTAGCAGCAAAATAAGCAAACATTGTTCCACCTAAAGATACCATTTCAACTGACGCAGAAACAAACTTCATAAATTTAAGTCCATCAACTGGACCCACTCAATGCACTTTATGCCACTGTAACTTGTGGTCTAAGCCCTGCACATCTTCCACTAAGGGTGCTCCACCAGTTCCTCCATGAGGATGAAAACTGCACTCAAACAGTGACTTCAATGTGATTCTATGCAGGAGTGAATCTACATGAAACAATCACCAGACCAATGGCCTGAGTTCTTAGGAGTTCAGATCTACAGGCAGAGAGAAGAGGCAAGGAGAGCAGGGGTAAGGACAAAAGCTCCCTGTTTGGCTTAGGCTCTCTTTCACAGATACAGAAGCCCCACCAAGTTGCAGTCTTCCGTCCAGGTCAGCTTAGCGGTTCCAGTTCAGCTCACCACAGTACCTAGAATTCAGGCTTGGGTTCCTACCATAACACCTCAGCTATACTGCAGCCGCACCCTCCCCCTCTGAGACAGAATATTCACAAGCTTTTTCTTTAAGTTGAGCCTATGCTAAGTGTATAATACACAAGCTCAGACACAGCCAGTCCATTGATCAGGGTTTCTCACAAACCACAACAGGCAACCAAGATGTGTTTTCCCCTATTCATGTTGCATTCTGTGAAGAACACAGAAAAAAGACAATAGCTAAGCTGCTTCCTAAATGAAATGTAGAAAGCCTTCTGTACTGATCAAAGGTGCAAGACTGAGGAAGCTTTTTCCACTCCCTTGTGCAGGACCCATCCTGCAGTTACTCCTACTCTTGTCAGTAATACTAAACCCTGCTGTAGGCCACCTACTGCATTGCCGAATTTGGGACACCCAAATCCTGTTGCATCCCAGTGCTGTGACAGAACAGCCCTCCAAATGCCGTTCTGCCACTGCACCCTTTAACTCTGATCTGAACAGACCCCTGGGAGGGAGGAGAAGACTGTTTCATCCTTCCTGGATATGAAGGCTTCAGTTAATATCTGCTACAAGCCTAGTGCTATTTTTGCTTTGTGAGCAGTCTCCAGACACAGCCACGCTGTGACCATCCATGACTCTCAAAAAACAGGTGATGCAATAGCAGCTAGTTTGGTTTAGCCAGTGTATTCTACTTCAGAACAATGCTGGTTACTGTTTGGAGAGCAGGGTACAGAAAACGGAGGAGGTAAGTTCCCTTCATTCTCTTGCAGTTTGTTAACAGATTTTGAAGGATGGCAAAAGTCAAATGTATTTTTCTGATTATGTTCTCTCCTCCCTTAATCTTTATCTCCTTCCCCTTCTTGAACCACGCACACATAAACTCCACTTGCTCTTTACTCTCTTACTTCCCCCTTAAACCATTTTGAATGGAGGCACAGACTCAGATTTTCAATCACACACCACAGTGCTGAGCTTTCTGGCAAGCGTCTATCCATAAAATGGCTCTTGCTACCACATGCCACATTTTCTATTCTATGTATACTAGCTTACACAGGTAGATTTCACAAGACACAGTTCTGATGGCAATTACAAAGCACCCAGACTGCCTTGGACTTATGACATTACAGAATATCTGAGATTGAGTTCTTCTATGAATTTCCTCTGCCAACTAAAACCTCTCCCCCCCTTGATTTCCTGCCTGTAAAACTCTCTCTCACCCTTTGTCTTGCCTACCGATACTATAAATGCTTTGGGGCAGAAATTGTCTTTCATAACATGCTCAGCACTACATACAGAGCAACACCCCTAAGCCTCCGCTCCCTTTTGCTGAGGAAAAGGGCTGAAGCAATGTGAATAAGAGTTGGTCAAGAATACTTTTGCCACAAAAACAGTTTCAGAGCTTCATTTTCAAATCAGTTTCAAATTATGTGGTTATAAGCATGGCTGTAAGGACAGCATTGGTATGTAAAGCATAATTCAGTGGTTATAGGGGAAAAAAGTGCCCCATATACTTCAAAGGACAATCTTCTGCAATTCAGAAAGGTTCTTAGAGAGATCTGACATATACTACAGGTCACACAACAGCACAAATTTGAAAGAGAGGGTTTATCCCTCTTGACTGAAAAGTCAGGACAGAGTTTGTAAATTCATCCAGTCTACAAATGAGAAGAGGTATAGTCTCCTTTGCACATCATCTTTGTAACAGCTTGTTTCTACAAATGAAGAATCACGCAACACACAGCAACGAAAAAGAAATAGTCTTATGCCAGTACCTCCTTTATGCATTCATTTAGCAGTCTGAAAATTCCTGAAGCATACAAATATGCTTAAAACCAGCAAAAAGTCTCAGTAATAAAAAAAATAGGTTATACAGACCTTGCCATAAGGAGTATCAACATATTTTTCTGTTCTTCCTTCTAAGATATCCGGATCATCCAGGCCAGTTCCACCAATAATTCCGATCTTACATAGAAAAGTACATATTAGTTCTCTTAAGATTACACCCCATTTAACAGCATGTTGCAAAAACTAACTAGGCAGCTACAAAATGTATTTTCTGCTTGAGATGAGGCTAGACCACAGATCAACAAAACACAATAGCACAGTTTCCCAGAAAGGAAATTTCTAATGGCTGATTTTAAACAACTGTATTTAACTTGCCTATTTCTTACACTATGATTCTTCTATTTAAAGATACCAAATTAAAAAAGCTATGGAAAACACACAAAGATATGCCAATTCATCATTCGTTCCCAATACAAAAATGAAGGGAATTATTTGGGAATGCCTCTAATGAGTGAGAAATACCTGTATAAAGCATGTTATAACGAAGGCTTCTTGTTTACATGGGGAAAAACAGTCCTATACATAACCACCACACTGAATACCAGACACCACTATATAGTATTATACAAACAAAATAATAAAAACATTTTTAAAAAAAATTAGAAGGTTTTTGTGTTGACTTGCCAAGATCTAAGAACATCCCCTTTTCTGTAAGCAGCCTCTGTACAGCTTCTGAAAAGGGGGACAGCTCAACAGCATCTTCACAAGTGAAATAAAAAGAATCTGCTGACAATTTCACCTGCTGTGAGCACTGCTGGGTTTCTTCGTGTATTTACAATTAGGTCATCTGGTACTTAAGAAGGTGGAAGTGCTCATTCAAGCTTTGCCTGCAGCTGGGTCACTAACTGTCTCCCGTGTAGACACATTGGTGTCAAGTTTTATTCAACTCAACTTTTCCCTAAGGAGAAATAGACTCTTGCTTCTCCTACTTTTTTTTTAATGAACTCTTTTCAAGTACTTTTTTCCCAAATTTTTATGAAATTGACTAATAGTTTCAAAGTATAATGGAAAGGGGAAAGAGAGGGCAAAGCAAAAGGCCACTGAAATAAAATATATTTTATTTCCTTAGGAAGAGTCCTATGTTGTGCTTTGATACAACTTGTAGTGAAGAACCATGAAGCAAGTCACAATTACCACCTTTCTGTCATGCTTTAGTAATCACTGATTTCCTGTTCTTGCTCATTGCTCATCTGTTCTAGTTCTTTTGTAAAGAAGGAAAGAAAAAAGGTAATTTGAAAAATAATATTCTCACTGAGACTAAACTCATCTGTGATGTCATACTCTAGCGAAAAGAAAAATTGAATTTTCCAGTTTCTAGTTCATCGTTGGAAAGTATCTTGGTTTTGTCTTTCTAGGGTTAATTCCATTTCCATTCAAGTAAAGTTTTCTCTTGAGTTCAGAACACTTCTAGTTCTTTGGAGGGAATGGGTACTGTCAGGCCCTTCACAACCTAAAGCTTAGTAATGGTATTTAAAAATAATGTCACCATTTATCACACACAAAGAAAATACTACTGTTTTGCTTTTTTTTTTTGTCCAATGTGACCAGTTGTTGCAAAGTTTGCCTCACTTTTAAATTGAAGGATTCCTATCATGGCCGGGTTGCTTATCATGGAAAAAAAAAAAATTGGAACCATTCCGGCATGACTTATTACTGCATGGTTCCATCATTTTTTATTGAAGACAGAAAATTTCTCATGTAAGACCTCCAGATTTCAACGTACAACACCCCCCTTCCACAACACACATCTAACTGTCTCTTACCCTAGCTTTTTCTTAACCTTCACATTCACAGAGACCTCATTTGTTCAACCACTATATTAGTTGGCTCATCAAGCATTTCATTTTAATAAGCAGAGGCTCTGTGGTCAACGTTACACACCAAATACCTCTCTGAGAAAGCCTTCCACACCAGATGGTGTAAACGCTGACAGGCTGAAGGACTTTTCACAGATCTATTTCCTTTTGCTACCCCCCTGTGGAGGATGAGGAGTAGTGCAAAGGAAAATACCAGTAAAAATCCACAAACTCCAATTCCGCATATACTCAAGCATTAGGGAAGATGGAGATCACTGTTTGCAGTAGTACTGATGGGTCTGTCCCCATGTTACTCATGTTGCTTATTTACCACAAACATTCAGATGGTTAGATTGCTCACGAAAATCCTGAAAACTATACGAATTTTAGGATGAATAATTTTTTTCCTTAAGAATCACGTGAGAAGGGTGGAAAAAGAGCAGTTATAAAACTCAGAATCAACAAAAGACCACCTTTAATATTGTTCATGTCTGCATCCAGTAAACCCGGAAGACTGCTACATTAACCGAAGCCAGGATCAAAATGCGGCCTATTTTTTCTAATCTAGGAAAAAAAAAAAAGGTTCCTTCTGTAACTTAACTAGTTTTAGTTTGGTATAATGCCTGTTTGATTAGTGCCCTATGACTTAAGATTGAGAATACTGAAAAGGGAATGCTTATCTGCCTGAATTTTTATGTCTGGCGAAAGTGAAAGTCGTTCGGACTGAGGAAAACAGCGCAATGCTGGAGATACCAGCTACAGCTACACGATATAAAAGTTATTTTGGATCTGCAGTGCTTTAAGGTCCTTATGAACACACAGATCCAGCACTGTAACGGACCATTCCTGTACCAGAAAGCAGCACACCTGATCTGCGTCAGCACAGAGTTCAGTCTGTTCACAGCAGCATAGGTCTGGTGAGGTTACTTTCAGATTTCCTCTTGGGCTCCCCACTCCTGCTGCTGCAGTGGCATCAATATGTGCCCGTGCTGCGCAGTTCAACTGCAGAGAAGGCTTTTACACCAACGGCCATGCTGTCAGAAATGGCAGCAGTGCAACAAGATGGCAAAATATTGACATCTCCCAGGATGGAGAACCCACAGCACGGAAGAAGAGCTAGACTACCTTGAGTTTGCTTTAGCCTTCTTCCTCCTTGCAAAACACCTCAGCAGCAGTTTGGTCAACCTTCAAGCCACCTTAGGCAACACTGGCTAGAGAAACGCTGGGCCTGCTACAATTCACAAGAGTGCTACTACTGTAGAAGGAAAGTTAGGCCAACAGAGATTTGTTGAAGTAGCTGGTTTTCTAACCATGTAACGCCAACTTGGAGCTGGCAGCTCCAACCCTAAAATTAATTTTACCTCTCTGCAAGAGAATTATTTTTCCTCCAATTTACATAATCTTCAGGAATACCAGCTGCATCTGCGGCCTAGAGACCCAAAAATATGATTCTATATTAAATTCTGCTTTACAAACCTTCTAGTGAACTACCAAAACTGTGCTCAGGGGACAGATACCCTGCCAAAGGAGCTGAGGTCTATTTTCACCTAGAAGCCCAGACACTGAAGGCAAGGAACGGCAGAGAGGAGAAAAGCCTCACCCTTCCTCAAAAGGCAGAGACAGTCACATCTAGGAGTGACCACAAGAATGGAAAGATGCAAGCCTGTATGCTCCATTCCAGACTTTGCATCCTACAAAGGGACACAAAGGACATAACGCTGTAGCTAAGGTTATCTAGAATCAAATCTAAATGTCATTGCAGTGGAATGAAATATGAAGTATTTTACTATAGCATAGTCCACCTCAAACACTGGGATGGAAAGCAACAAAAGTGAAACCTCACAAAAAATTATCACACCAGTAACCACAAAATCAAAAGCACTTCTCTGTGGGAGTCCAAATAATGACCACACTTAAGTGCATGCCTTTCTCCACCTGCTGTTTGCTGAAATTCCTCGAATAGGTTCAAGCACAAGACAGAGAAGCATCAGTGTGCTAACAGCTACAGTTGTGCATCTGAGGGTCTCAAACACTAGCACATGTTAAGTGTTGCCACCATCAGCTATGAGTCTTGGTGACAACTAACAACCAATGAATACACCTGTACTCTCTTCTATTTTGGGGATAATGAGAAGAGGAAGAAGATGGCATTAAAAAGACTCTCACTTAACAGAGATAAACAGCAAGCTGCATACAATTTACAGTTAAGTGAATAAACCTGCTGCCTCTGTAAAATAAAAACAGCTTATAACCAATTTCTATACACCAAAACAACTGGGAGAGCTGTTTCACCTCAGAAAACTAATTCATACTTTGGTCAAAAGACAAACCCAGAGTTTCAGCCTAACTGGCCCCCTCATCCCTGATGCTGGCCGTCGCCTTTTGGAGCCGTTTTTTAAACACACGGGATGGACAAGTCTGAGGCAAAACTTCCATACTGGTTCACTTCTCCTGCAGCTCCGGGATCTGTGCACCTTGCGATAGCTACAAACGTGCCTCGGTCCCTCTCGCTGACAAATCCGACACACCACAGCCAGGTCGGATGCCCTGAGAAGCAGAGGCCTCCGGCTTTCATTTA